AGGACAGATAAGATTTGAGCTGTAATCAAAGAATAAAGTTACCTTGTGATTGGAGTGCAATGACCCTGACAAAATTGGGGAAATGGCAGATCAGAGGAGTCAATATCTAATTTTGAACAAAAGCTACGATAGGAAATCTTATGTAAGCAAAATTTGAAATGATAATTATTTTAATTAATGACCATAAAGTTAAGCCATGCCAAGCAGTCAAGAGCCATTGGTTGAAGAGTAGCTAAAGTGGAAGATGCAGATGAAATGCTGGGGAAGGTGAACTGTCCTTTTTGTTGAACGATAGCACAAAGCTATGGTTCAACAAAAAGGACAGTTATAAAGTGATAATACAGACTCTGGTAAGTTTCAGTTTGTTTGAAATAATTCTATTATTGTGTGCGAATAAAAAGAAATTTACTTTTTCTAAAGAAGACAATTATATTTAGCAATGCCATTAAAAAACATTTATATATATTTAAATGCTAGCATTTGCATTGAACAGAAACTTTTTGATCACTTCAAGAAAGCAATGACATTTAAACAAAAAAAGAAAGATGATTATTTATCTATTCATTTACTCTTTGTATTATATTATTATATTGTATATTTATTATTTTTTTAGTTATTGAAATACAGTGGGGGAAAATAAGTATTTCATCCCTTGCTGATTTTCTGAGTTTACCACCTTACAAAATTAGAAACAGTCTATAATTTTCAGGGTAGGTCCATCTTGAAAGTGAGAGATAGAATATAAAAAAATTCTAGAAAATCACATTATATTAATTTTTGAACATCTATTTGTTTTTTATAGAAAAAATAAGTATTTCACCCCATAGTAAAACATAACTGAGTATTTGGTGAAGAGACCCTTGTTTCCTGTTGTTGGTTACCAAGATTTTACAGATCCCACTCCTCTTTTCAGATCCTCTCCAAATCCCTAAGGTTTGTAGGTTGTCAGGCAACTTGAAGCTTCAGCTCTCCCCACAGATTCTCTAAAGGATTAAGGTCCAGAGACTGACTAGGTCATTCTATTATTTTAATGTGCTTCTTCTTGAGCCACTCCTTTGTTGCCTTAGCCATATGCTTTGGGTCATTGTCATGCTGGAACACCCATCCACAACCCATATTTAGTGTCCTGGCTAAGTAGGTTTTCACTCAAGATTTCCTTGTACTTGGCACCATACATCTTTCTCTCAACCCAGTGTAGTCGCCCTGTTCCCTTAGCAGAGAAACAGCCCCAAAGCATCATGTTTCCACCACAATGCTTAATGGTTGGGATGGTGCTCTTGGGGTCCAAGTCACCTTTTTTTTTTCCTCCAAACACTGCAAGGTTGAGTTGATGCCAAAAAGATCAATTTTAGTCTCATCTGACCACAGCACTTTCTCCCAACCCTCCTCTGAATCATCCATATGCACATTTGCAAACTTCTGATGTGCCTTCTTGAGTAAAGGGACCTACATGATTTCAGTCCACTATGATGTAGTGTGTTACTAATGGTGATCTTGGTGACTGTGATCCCAGCTGCCTTGAGGTCATCAACAAGCTCTTGCCATGTAATTCTGAGTTGTTTCCTCATGTTTCTCATCAAGTTCACTCCATGTTGGGAGATCTTGCAGGGAGCTCCAGACCGTGGGAGATTAATAGTCAATTGGTGTTTCTTCCATTTTCTTATCACACCAAGAGTTGACTCCTTCTCACTTAACTGCTTGCCAATTGTCTTGAAGCCCATTACAGGCTTGTGCAGGTATAAATTTTTTTCCCTGATGTTCTTAGAAAATTCTTTCATCTTACCCATTGTGGAGAGATTAGATTCTGATTCATTGAAGGATTCTGTGAACTAGTGTCTTTCATACAGGTAATGAGTACTTGATTAGGAGTAATAATTGAGTAATAGGATTAGTTTATATTCCTCCTGGTCACATAACCGATCTGTGGGGTCTGAATCATTGCTGGTTGGTAGGGGGTGAAATATTTATTTTTTCAATGAAAAAGAAATAAATGTTCAAAAATTAATATGTGATTTTCTAGAATTTTCTTATATTCTATCTCTTACTTTCAAAACGGATATGCCTGAAAATTATAGACCGTTTTTTGTAAGGTGGCAAACTGAGAAAAACAGCAGCGGATGAAATACTTATTTTCCCCACTGTACATATTTAATTTTTATGGTTAAAAATTGTTTATTCTTTTAGGTTAATTATATTCATAGCTTGTCTTTTAGAGAAGAGTATCATTTTGCAACTTTATTTTATTCAGAATGTTTAACACATTGTATTTACCTACTTATATATTTGGCACAACCAAGCTTTATTTATGATCTAACATTTTTTAAAGAAGTTGCCATATTTTCATATTTGTAGCAGAGACGTTTCAATTTATATTGTAATGTTTATTTTTATTATTTATTCTGTATAATCAATTATTTTCCATTATTTAACATTTAAACAAACAATTGATTTAAGAATAACAACAATAATAATTGGCCATATATATTTGACAATTATTTTCTATTATTTATTACATAATATTTTCTATTATTTATTACATAATATTTTCTATTATTTATTACCAAATATTTTTATTATTGAGAGAGGCATGGTGGTGTAATGGATAGCAGCTTGGATTGAGGAACCAGAGAGCCAAGTTTGAATTCCAGTCATATACATTACATTCACTTACATGCTAATACCTTTTGGAAAGGTATGAATCCTCTTCTTCTCCCCCCAGCTAAGTAGCAAGACAGACTGGGTTCTATAACCTTGGATAGCAACTGGTCTAGGAGAAGGACAACTCTGAATTCAAAACCTGCAGAGGGTCGTTTGGGGACCTTGTGGCACGTAGTGCACCAGGTCTCTGTATTCAGCTCTTCAAAAAGTGTGGTTGGTTCTGCACAAAACCTTAACCACTCTAATCAAATCGTATGTGCAGGTTGTCTGGCTGTCGGTTCCTAGGAACTGAGTTGCCTGACCCTCATACGTCATAAAAGGGTCCCCAGTAGGTTTGGGTCAACAGCCTGCATTGATCAATGACAGGACATTCCACAATTTTTTTTAATACTTTCTAGTATTTATAATTAAAAATAGTTGTTATAATAATAATAATAATAATAATAATTATTGTTATATTTTGATGATGATCCATTTACTCCAACATTCAATGGTAAATAAAACAAAAAAATCACCTTGGTTCATTTTCAATCAAGAAATGGTAATTACAGTGAATTTTGACTAGCTGCAGACTAAATCTGTACATGGTTCTGAGCTACTAGCAATATATCCAGGGTGACATGCTATGCATAAATGAATACCTCCCCAACTTTGACCCCAGATATTGGCACATAACCAAGACTTGTGAAGGGAGATGGTCAAGTGCTCAGTTGTAAAGCAGTTCTACAATCATACCCGGTAATAAGACTGATAATGATGATGATGATTAATTCCTTAAGAATCTCTCAGCCTAATTTCTCAAAACTTTTTTAATTAGTTATTTTCCTTCAATTAATTCCAATAATTATTAACTGCAATCCAGCCTCCTCTCATGCTTTACCCTGATTCTATACCATAAGGCTGAACCTTTCTACATTTAACTCTGTCATCAAGCCACCTTGGAGATCTACTCACCCTACACAGATGTCTATTAACTGATAATAATCAACAGGAAATATTCCAATATGACAATGCAAAATATATAAAACTGATTCATTTTCCTTGAGATCTATGGTGAAAAAATTTTTATTATTTAATGAATACACCTGGTTTTAGTTTATCATGAATTGAACAAAAAGCAATGCATAATTTACAATATACAAAAGAGAAAGAAATTAAAATGCTGAAAAAATTTTGTATTATAATTTCAATGAAATTGTAGCAACTGTTATGTTTTTCCATGCCCACATTTTATTCATCTGTGATTGGCTAAGAAATGAATACTGCCTTTCTATAGGACAATTTAGTCATCACAGTTGTTGCTTTGAATTTTTCGGTTTTGAACTTGCTTACTTGTTTTGTTAGTACAAATTTAGCAATTGGTCAAATTTTAACCAATCAAATATTTTAGTGCAAAATCAACTTTTCCCGCGTTTTTGCTGGGAGCCTATCTGTAGCTTTAAATAGGCGACTTTTTCACAAGCCACCAGTAGAGTCCACTAAATTTCACCTGCCAACACAAACCTATGATTTTACTCACAACATTTCAAATGCACACACAGACACAGAATTTTGTAATACATATATACATATCTCTGTGTGACTCGGCCAAGTTCAATCAGCCAAAACTCTGTTGATTTCTCTAACACAACACACTTTCTGATCAATTGTATTCTTGTGTTATCTATTCTAACAGCAGACTTGTTCTAACATTGATTCCTAAACATTTCTCTCTCAAGAGAACTTTCTTTCAAACAATCAATTACAAATCAAAATACGGTAAAAGGGAAGCAACTTCTTTTCCCTTAATCTATACATTGAATACAGATTATTGTATATTTTGTTCTTGTATGTTATTTCAATATATACTTGTTGATTCACATATGAAGTTTTGTTGTTTTCTTGAATCATTAATAATATAAAAGATATATGCATTAAAGAACACACCATAACAAAGTAATATTTTATATACAATAAAACATTTCTATTACCCATATCAGATTAACAATGCAATCTGCCACAGTGGAAAAATGAAAATATTAGTTGAAGACTTAAATACATGCAAATCTATCATTCACAGCTTTCAAATAAATAGTTGTCATGAAATCAATTGTACAAAAATTAATGCTATCCACAAGAACCATAAAAGATGATATTTCAGACAAATATAAATAATTATCTTCACTAATTAATTAAGATACAAGCAATTAAATGTTAAAATAACTTCTTATAAAAGAATAAAACTACAATTTAATGAAAGATTTAAAATAAAAATGAACAGTATTAATTACAATATAATTTTCCAAAATGGCAACTCCAACTTTTAACAAAATAAACGGATTGAAGGTTTTATTTACACTAACCTTTCTTCATCAAATGGAAGACCAAAAAGAATATTCTCTTGAGCAGAAGCATTCATGATCCAAGCTTGCTGTGGAACATAAGCAACAATTCCCTGCTTGGAGATTTTTCCAGAAACTAGGTTCATCTATAATGAAAGTAGATTCTTCTCACTTGAGACTAAAAACAGATTTGAAAGAGCTTTTAAAAAAATCATTACTATTAACATTTTTTTAATCTATAAATTGTTTTGCTTTGTGAAATATTAATTTAATTTTAAGTCAATCTCCTGTCCCCAGTTATGGGTTAAATAGTAGGACTTGTATTTGGAAAAAAATCATTATTATTCCCTTGAAATTATGAATGCAATATTCACATGTAAAAAAAAATGTTCTAACAATCCCAAATATGTTTTGGCTTTAAATAATCCACAAACGGTTGATAAGCAATAAAAAACAAATCAAACCATATCAACAATATTTTTAAGGTTTCATACATACAAAATCAGCACTGTCATTTTAATGAATTTTAATTTAAACATTATTACTAAGAGTATCCTTAATATAACAATGAGAAATAGTAAAAAGCAAACAATATTGCCATGGGATAAAATAAGATTTTTTTTCAAATTATAGGTTTGCTTTGACATGAAATAATTTTGTTTTAAACTAATGGGAAAACAATGTCATTAAAAACAAACTTTTAAATAAATATTTTTATAACCTGAAATATTTCCTTTGTTATTGAAAACACTAAATAATTTAACATTTACCAAAATAGTTATTTCTTAAAAAATGAAAATGATCAAAAATACAAAAAGATATAGTGTTTAAGCATCACAGAAAAGAAAACATTAATAGTTTCCTTCTTAAGTTTAAAGTTTTCAATACAAATGTTCAGACAGTGTATCTTCCAATACTTACAACCATTAAATAATTTAAGAAAGAAGAGAATAAAGGCATTTCTACCATAATAGTTATAATAATTTAAGAATTATCAAATGGGGTTAATTTTGTTAATATGTTGATGAAAATAAGTATCAAAATAAATAAAAAAAATGAAATATTCAAATTTACCATTTTTCTATATGAAATATCAATTCTATTTTCATTCCTTAATTTTAATTAAATTTTAAAGTCGACAATTCAAATTAATAAATGATCTATGAAAATGTCAATTTTGCAAATAGAGAATTAGTAATCAAATTAAAATTAAAAATACTGGTAACTATAGTATTACTGTTAAAAAAGCTCAAACTTCTTTTCACTGAGAAAGATCATTTCAATGAACTACAGAATAAATGCCTAATAATGATTACTTAATCTTATGTAAATTTTGATAATTTATTGTAAATATGGAAGATTAACTTACTCGTCCAAGAATAGCTGATATCAAAGAACTCTTTCCAGAACCTATACTGCCACATACTCCCAACATTTGGCCCTGAAACAACAGAAAAAAAAAAACCATCTAAAAAATCATAATAAATATTCTCAACAATTTTAAATTCAATATTTTTTTGAAAGCAGGCCATAATTTATGATGAAGAAAACAAATAAAAGAATAAATATATGAACAATTATTATTTAGTTATTTCAAATAAAGAAATAATCCTTTTATAAGTATTAAATTAAACACTCTATATATTAGTCAAATACAACTACGAAATTAAAATTAAAACATTTTATTAATTTGAAATTAGAAAAAGAAAACCTACTTTTTTGAGAACAAAACTGATGTTAGTTAATATGGCTTCTTGTGATGATGGAAGTAACTTCATGTTCTCTGTTAACTTTTCTCCCCTATTATTACACTTCATTTCTGTAAAAATTAAAGTAAACATATTAGTCATAAATGAATGTCAAAGAACCAGTAAGCAATATTTACAACATCTTTTATGTATTTTCATCTGATACTATAGTAAACTTTACTTTTACCAAAATGGTTGATATCAATTGTTTTAAGTTTTATAATATGCAAAAATAATGATGTGATTGTTACCATATATTATAAACATATTTAAATTTAAAATGTGTAATCACACAGATGCACACACACACACACACACACACACACACACACACACACACACACACACACACACACACACACACATTTTCATTTAAGTTGAAAATGTAAACATTTAACTTTTAAAGTTAATTTTACTTTTATCTTACATATTTAATAAAAACATATGATGTATCACATAAACTATAAGATCCTTTCAAAATTACTATAATTAATGGCATGCCCCTAAAAACAAAATCTAAAAAACTATCTCATAAGCCTTATACGCAATTTTGAAGCATTTCATGTGGTAATGTTTACCCAGGTACCATATACTACCAGTATTTGTACCAAATCATACAGGATATTAAAGTATCATATTAAATCATATATATTTTGCCATCAAATATGCTAAGTTGTTTTTAGTATTAAAAATACAGAGGAAGCAGTTCAATTATTAAAAAGACATGTTTTCATTTGGTTTCAAACAAAAGCTCTTGGTTTGAAAACTCAATGTGTAGAAAATAAAATTGATAAATTATAGAGAATAATTCAGGGATAATTAAAAGGAAATGTTTTTGAAGAAGAACCTTTGTTGTCTGTAGACATTTCTTCTTTTTTTGCTGTACAATTCCAACTTAGGGATGCATTTTCAAAGACAACCATTTCTTCATCTTTCAAATTTGATTTCTCAATGTCTTCAATTTGATCCAAGCTTAATACTTCCTACAAAATAAAATAACATTTCCAAATAAATACATTCGATTGACCTAGATAAAATTCATTATTCTGTGGAATCTTCCACATTAGCCTTTAACTGCCTTCAAAAAAAATGTATTCTTCTCTGAAAAGCCTTTAACCAATCATCATCTCGTTTTTGCAAATCCAATCTTTTTATTGGTTAATAAAAACCAAAGTGTAGCAAAATTCCAAACAAATCCTATTTCCCGCCAAGCTCTTTGAAGCCAATTTTGCTACACAAAAATCTATAAATTTACCGCATGACTCAATTCAGACAGTCAGCCACCAAATTTCAACAAAGTGCTACCAAACTCCACGTGTGACATTTCACTGACTCACACACCACATTGAATTCTCAACAAAACATTCATCAACCATTGTCCGCTTGTTAACCAACATCTTTAGTTGACTTGAAAAGTGGAACAATTTCACTACTAAAAAGTAATTGTATATCTCATCAACTTAGCCTAACTTAGCAACTCTTGATAATATTTATTCTTACTTGTTAATTACACACGTACACACACTGATAAATGAACGAACACATATGATTTCTTTCCTTGCAGAAACCAAATCATTTTAATTTTCTTCACAATCAAAAAGTACCAACATTTCTTAACCACATTTCTGCACAAACATTCCTTATGACATTGTCTCAATTATCACAACAGCAAACATTGTGATTGTTGTTGCATGTTTATTTTATTGTTGATATAAAAATTTCTTTAATGTTAAATCTTTAACAACAGTATTTGGTAGTTTCTTGACATGCAATTTGTTCATAAATTGTTTGTATAACCAATATTTTGTGGGATACGCACGCTATTAAACATGCATAACCTTCATCTTACTTAATTTTGCCTTATGATATATTTCACTCCGTGTACATCCTGCAACAATTCCTTTCACTAAATATCACATTTATTCTGAATATTTCCTGCAACAATTACTAAAAATCCACATTCTTTCCATAGAAATCCTAACAATGCAGGGAAGGGAATAAAATAAATGATTCATATTTTACAATTAAAAAAAATTTGCCAGTGATTTGTGATTATTCAAAATTATATTTGCAAAAACTGTTTGCAAGCAAAATATATTTTAGTATTTAATTTCCTCCCACAATTTACATTTTCTACCATATTAAATTAATTTTAATTAAAAATGTGGTTAAATATGAAGAAAATTTTCTTTTTTTTTTTTACTAAAGTTCACCCAATACAAGGCTGAAGAGTCTGTAATGGCTCCTTTTAAGAAAATAAAAGAAATGGCCTATCAAGTCTCTTTCACAGCATTATTGCAACCAGCATGATTGGTCAATACACGAGCCAATGACAGCCCTACCTTATGTCCACTTTGGCAGACAATTTAGAAACTCTCTCTTTTGACAACTGACCCTAGAGCAGTAAAAATGTACCAAGATGCTTTCTGACCAACAACAACATGGAAAGGTCAAATGATCATGTATGTACCATTTGAATAAATAATCTAATTTATATATATATATATATATATATATATATATATATATATATATATTACTGTAGGTGTTTTATTTAATTCTTTTAAGTATTTCTGTCACTTAAAAGAATCAAATAAAACACCTACAGTAAAATGGAAATTTATAAGAAAAGCTAGAATATGTAGGTCACTAAATGACCCATGTCCTTTGTACATATATGAGAAACTATATATTACTAAGTTTATAAAAATAAAAGTTTATTGAATCAGAGAAATGAAATAGCTATTTTTTGCTGTCATTGTCAAAAATTTTCCTTAAATAATATTCAAAAATAAAATTAAAAAATGGGAGCTGGTAATATACATACTAAAAAAATAAATAAAAAATAAAAAATTTGATTTTTGATAAAAAAAATTTAAATAATGTAAGTAATTTTATTACATTTACTTATTTTTAAAAGAAATATAGTCTATTAGTAATTAAGACTAAAAATATTTTTAAATTGTAGTTAAATAAAACATAAAAAAATTTAAAAAAAAAAAAAGAATTTTTAAGTATACTAGTAAGAAAAAAATGCCGAAAAACTTTTTGCCATTAATAAATAAAGAAACCCCAGACAACATGCATTTAACGGATGTCAGAATTTGTTGAAAAATACACCCCTACCCTCCCTAAACTTAACCTCTTTTTCGAACGTAACTCGTAGTTGATACAACAATAGTTAATAAAAATGAACATGCTACAGCCACTGTCTGAATGATTGGATTTCTCTGTATCCTTGGAAACAGTAAATTATGAATTTATATATGCATTTAAAACTCAGTAAATTTAAAAATAAGTTATTCCAATATTCGCTTGAAGATGAAATGGAACTAAATGCCTTTAATTTAATTATATAATTAAATTTAAAGTTTTTAGCTTCTATTTTTGAAACATGGTTATTACTGTGTAGTGAAAAAAAATATATTTTCAATCAGTTAATTTATAATATATATATATATATATATATATATATATATATATATATATTTGATTGTCATAAGCATTAACTCCCCTCAATTTGGACTCTGGAATTTTGCAGTGGTTGGCAACCTTTTTCTAATTATGTGCCGACTTAAAGTTTTAAAATCATTCAGGGTGCCAACAGCATACATATTTTTATACAAGTCAAGGTCAATATACCTGTTCTACAATATATTTTATATAGTAATATGTAGTATATATACTTTAGTATATATGTGATTTAAATGAAAATTGGGTGGTAGGAAAAATAAATTTCCACTCGAATCTGTTCCTGCTGACAGCTAACATGGAAACCAGAATAATGCTTCACTCAGGACTCTGTTTACTGCACATTGTAAACAACAGTACTATCATTCTTTCTCTGGAACACAGGTATAACCTTCACTAGTCTCAAAGAACAAAGTCCCCAGAAACAAAAAGTCAGCTCCTTTTATCCTTCCTCAGTCTTGGGCAAGAAACCAAGATCTCTTGCTTGTGTTAGCCTCATTCTTGCCGATACTAATATACTAATCACATAAAACCTCTGAATCATATCCACATCTACACACACCAACTGTGGGAGCCATAGAATCAGAAAACAAAGATTCATTTGTCGGCAATGTATGTGTCTTAACAAGCACTAAATATTTTTGTGGTGGATTGCATTACAGTTCAAAGTATGCCCAGCCAGAGAGTCCACATGTCCCAAATGCAGAAAAAAGGGCACTTTTCCAAAATATGTAAGTCAGTTAGCACTTCAGCCATGTCACTTAATTAATCTTATACATTGGTGACCACTATGCTACCTAGTTTCTTAAAACAGGCTATGGAATACATTTTGATTGGCCAAAATGAGGCTACTGCTTTAATGACACTGGTAGCTCTGGATCCTTTATTTCACTTGACTACATGAAAAGACACCAGATAAAAATAAAACCTGCAGTGGGGAATGTGTCCATGACTTTGTCATCCATTAACACTTCAATAAAATGACAGTATACTGTCAATTTAAATTTATTAGGTGAGTCCTTCCCAATCTTTGTAGTGATGTAATTCTTGGGCAAGACTTCATAAACCAACATTCTAGTGTATTTTTTGCATTTGGCAGTCTTAAGAAAAGCCTATTTAGAGTTCAACTGCTTGTATCCTACCATCTGTGATGGTAGATATACCTACATTAGTTTCAAATCTTGATCTTAACTTCAAACCTATTTCTACAAAATCTAGGTGATTTGGAAGTGCCGATAAACACTTTATTAAAACTGATGTTAATAAAATACTAAGAGATGGAATAATTGAGGAAAACACATCTCCTTGGTGAGCTCAAATTTTAATTTGATAGCAAATGGCATAAAAAGAGATTAGTTGTGGATTATAGTAGAACTATTAACAGATTCACTTGACTCAATGCTTAGCCCCTACCATGAATTGACCATCTGGCTTTGAAAATCTCTATAAAATTTCTTCTTCTTTCAATTTGAAGAGTTCATATCACCAAGTACCCATTTGAAGGGAAGACAAACCATATACCACATTTGAAGTTAATGACAAATTATACTAGTTTTGTTGTATTCCAGTAGGGATCACTAATGGGACATCTTGCTTCTAATGCGTAATGGACAACATTATTATGAAGAATAACTTGCACAAAACATAGTTTTAACTGGCAAGACACAAGAGGAGCATGATAAAAATTTCTCAAAATTTTTTGAGGTAGCCAAACTACATAATCTTACTTTCAATGAAAAAGAGTCCTCCCTATTATTTTCTTGGCTACACCATATCTCATTAAACTTGAGACTGATTGACTACACCCACTTAAAGAATTACCTATTCCTAAAAATAAAGCTGCTCTTTGCAGGGTTCTTGATTTGTTTTCTTATTATTCACAATATATATCAAAGTTTTCATATAAGATCAAACCCTTAATTATGGCTGACTCATTCCATTTAAATCGTGAATCCATGGAAGCATTCTGAAAACTTAAGAAGAAATTGAAAGTGCCTTACTTCACATTATTGAAGAAAACATCCCCCTAGTAGTCGAGAAGGAGGCTTCTGATGTGGCAATTGCCACTGCTTTGTATCAGGCTGACCACCCAGTGGCTTTCTTCTCACAATCACTAACATAGACTGAATGAAAGTACGCTTCAGTAGAAAAAGAGGCTTCAGCTATTATAGAAACTGTAAAAAGGTAGTCTCACTACTTATCTGGTCAACACTTTACCATTGTTACAGACCAACCTGAAGTGAACTTCATGTTTAATACTGAGAGACCTGGAAATATTAAAAATGATAAGATCCAGGGATGGAGAATGTAACTGGGGAACTATAACTATGGAATTACTTATGGACCAGGGAAGGATAATATACCTGCTGATCTACTTTCATGGGCTCATTGTGGTGCTATCCTCCACAAGGAAAAGTTATATGAGCTCCACGATTGTCTTTGTCACCCTGGTATAACTAGGTTAGCCTACTTTGTCAAAGTCAAGAATTTAGCTTACACTATAGATGTAAAA